GAGGGAGTCAATGGGGGGAAAATCAGGACATATGTAAAAATTTCAACAATAAAGAATTATTTAAAAAAAAGAAACGGGGCATGAGGTGGGGACTTTATTTTATTTTTTGAATATATTTCTTATTGGTTTCAGAGAGGAAGGAAGGGGAAGAGATAGAAGCATCAGTAATGAGAGAGAATCATTGATCGGCTGCCTCCTGCACTCCCCCTACTGGGGATCAAGCCCGCAACGCAGGCATGTGCCTTTGGCCAGAATCGAACCTGGGACCCTTCAGTCCGCAGGCGGATGCTCTATCCACTGAGCCAAACTGGCGAGGGCAGAGGGGGGAAACTTTAAAAGTGGGAGGGGGACAGGGAAGACCCTGGGAGGCAGAGACTCTGATGGGCCAAAGCCTGAGGTGGAGGCAGGACTGGCTACAGAATTGACAAGGCCCACGGCCAGATGTAGGGCCCCTTGTTCAAAAGTTCTTAAGAATCTCGAGATGTGAGAGCAGAGCAAGCAGAGCACTCAGCCAAGTGCACAGGGCGCTGTGGGACTGCACAGGTCAGGGCCATGGAGCTGGCCCTGGAGGGTGGGGAGGGGAGTCTAGGGCGTGAAGAAGAAAAGGAAGCATTTCAGCTCAGAGGGCACAGCGAATGCAAAGGCCCGAATGGAAGTGGCAAGGGTGAGTATTCTGGGACGCGGAGGGCACAGCAGGAAGAAGGCCCCTTTGCAGACCGCTTCAAAAAGAGCGGCCCTCCAGCCCTGGCCCGGTGGCTCAGTTAGTTGGAGCATCTTCCCATGCACCGAAAGGTGGCGGGTTCGATTCCCAGTTAGGGCACATACCTAGGTTGCAGGTTCGATCCCCGGTTGGGGCACAAACAGAAGGCAACCCATTGATGTTCTCTCTCACATCGATGTTTCTCTCTGTCTCTCCCTTCCACTCTCTTAACCTCAATGTAAAAAAATATCCTCGGGTGAGGATTAACAAACACACAAAAAAATTTTAATAAAATAAAATCAATGAGCATATCCTCAGGTAAAGATTACAAAGAAAAGGAAAGGAGCATCCCCCCACGCATTAAGCACATGCATTTTCCGTCCATGGCCTTGCCAGTCTCCCGGTAGTTGGCCTGGCAGGAAGAGAGGAGAGCCAGGTGGGCCACAAGGTGACCTTCGGTGGCGCCCAAGAAAACTGCAGGGGGCAGGGAAGATCCCCAGGCCCTGGAATAAACTCTCCAGGCCTTTGCTTTCTGTCTGAGAAATGGGGAAGGAGTGAGAGCCCCCATTCTCTGTTTCCATTTTGCAGAAACTGGGCCCACAAGGTTCAGAGATTTGCCTGAGGGTGCAGATGATTGAGCAACGGATCAGGAAAAACACACACATAATACTAATGAAGGGAACTTCCTGGAATTAACAGGGACTCTGTCACCACTTCCATTGATGCTCCAGCTGGTGGCAGGCAGGGTGCCAGCCTGCACCTCCGAACTCAATGACCCACATCTGAAAGTGGGCGGAGCATTTGACTGGGGGCCCGGGGAAAGGCGTCACCACCCTGCGTAAGAGAAGACTCCAGCAGCAGCCCTCCATAAGCAGCATATCGGGCAGCACAGTTCTAGAACGTCCCATTCTAGAAAGTTCTGTGGGCCTGCTCAGGTCTAGTTCGAAAGTTGCTTTTTCTAAAAGCTCTTCCCTGACCTGCACACACCTTTCTAAAATACTGCCTCTTAATAACCCCCTCTCCTGTACCCTGTTTCATTCTTGGCGTTGGACACACTTGGAAACTATCTTATAGGCGTGTTTGTTTATTTGTACACTAGAGGCCCAGTGCACAAAATTCGTGCATAGGTAGGGTCCCTAGGCCTGGCCAGCGATCAGGGCCGATGGGGGCCTTCTGGCTGCCGGCCAGGGACTTCCTTCTGGCTGCTGGCCAGAGCCTCCCTTCCCCAGCTGCTGGCTGCCGCCTGGGGCCTTACTTCATTCCGCACTGCCCCCTGGTGGTCAGTGCACATCATATCAAGCAATAGAACTCCTGGTCTCCCAGTCGAACTCCCTCGGGGATACTTTGCACATTCGCCTTTTATATATATAGAGTTCCCATCTTCCAGTTAGGATGGACCTTCTTGTTTCCTGCTGGAGCTCTAGTAATTAAGGTATCTTCCCAACCCTCCTACTTAGATATCACTTAGCACACCCGCCTCCCCCCCCCACACACACACACACTGGACATTCACTTCTGCCCTAATCTCTGTAGTTCATCAATTTCAGTGACTTGGTTTAATTAACTGCTTTCCCTCATTGCTGCTGAAATTGCCACACTGAGGGGACAAACAGGGTTTGGAGGGGAGAGAATGTTTGAGATTACTAGACAGCATGCACTGTGGGATCTTGGGAAAGGTACTTCACCTCTCTGGACCTCAGTTTTGTCATCTGTAAAATGGGGATCCACCGCCAGCCTTGCATCATTGTTATAAGAGATAAATGGGTAGTTTATATAATCTATAGGTAGAAGCAGGGTGGGGAAGCTCTGGGTCAATTCGAGTAGTGGGTAAAGTGGGTGCTAGTGGGCAGAGCACCAGCCCAGGACAGGAGCTGGGGAGGAATCTCCTGCTTATTAAGCACCTACTGTGTACCAAACGCTGTGTGTACTTTATAAACATCATCCCTTTTAATCCCTTCAACATTTTGCAGATGAGGGATGCAGGTGAAGTGCCAAGCCCAAGGTCACACAGTTGGGCAGGGGGGCAGAGCTAGGGTTGAACCAGGTACTCTTTGTACCAGACCCTGAAGCCTTCTCTTCCTTTAACCCTTCCAGAAGCTCCAAATAGTCCCCCCTGACCCCAGCCGGTTTTACTCAGTGGTTAGAGTCGGCCCTCGGACTGAAGGGGCCTGGGTTCGATTCTGGCCAAGGGCACATACCTTGGTGGCAGGCTCCATCCCCAGCTCAGGTCAGGGCGTGTGCAGGAGGCAACCAATCGATGTGTCTCTCTCACATCGACGTTTCTCTCTCTGTGTCTCTTCTCCTTCCTTCCACTCTCTCTAAAAAAAAAATCAATGGAAAAAATATCCTCGGGTGATGATTAACCAAAAAATCAAAATATAAAACAGTCTCCCTGGAGATCTTCCTCACATTTTCTTCTCTCTCAATCTCTTACTTCCAGGAACCAGGGTTAAGGTTAAGCTCCCTGGGAACGTGGGTCCCTATGGAAGAACCCCTCTCCTCGCCCAGGTTTTTCTCATGTTGGCAGAGCAAATACCAGAGCTGCTTAAAAGAACAGCCAGCAAGGGAGCCTACCCCTCACCTCCCCACCCCCCACCCCTCACCCCGGCCTGTGAGGTTCTGGTTGGCGCCTCCTCTTGTCTCTGCTCTCCTATACTTCCCAAGTTTTCTACCGGGATCGACTGCGTTCCTTTTGTAATTTGGGCACGGAGGTGGCAAAGCTTGGTAACAAAACAAAACCCTCCAAAGAGTCACCACCAGACAACATTGGTTCCAGTATTTGGGATCTGAGTTTCTGCTTTTTAGGCATCCCTAGGGGAAGGCCCGCTTCTCGGGTTAGTAGCCTCCTTCTGAATAAATGAACGGACAAACGAACAAATAAAGGAATGTGCCTCTTTAGGAGGCAGGGAAACTGTCCTGCCCTCCAGGCTCCCATCATCCCTTGTGGCGTAAATTCATTTGGCTTAAATTATAACTAGTTACATAGAGAGTCCTCTTCCCCAACTAAGCTGAGATTGTCTAGAAAGCCAGTTTCCTGTTCACACAGTAGGTGTTCAAGAGACGATTTTGAAAGGAGGGGAGGAAGGAAGGAAGCAGAGAAGGGTAACATCTGCTTTTCACATAGCTCCCCTGGAAGCGCTGGCATCCAAGGATGGCTTGACGGAGCAGGGGGCGGGGGTGTGAAGACCACTCCCTAACTCTGCGCTACCCTCCTGGTTACAAGGACAAAAAAGGCACCTTACCTCATAGCGGGGACAAGGGTCTCAGAGTCGCCTGCAGCTCGAAGAGCCTCCAGGGTCAGGGCCCCCAGGCTGGCCCTGCTGCCCTTGCGGGAAGCTTCTCGGCCAGAGCCAGTGCCCGGCTCCTCATCAGAGGAGTTGTCGTCAAAGGAGCCCAGGATGAAGTTGGTCATCAGCTGCCTCTTGATGTGCGCCTGCTTCTGGTCTTCTTTGGAGAGGGTTCTGGCTCGGGCCTGGGGCCTGGCCGGCGAGGACAGGCCATTGGTGTCTGGGGCCTCCAGGCCTTGGGTCCTTGTCCTATTGGCTGGGGAGGCATCCCGGGAGGGAAGGGGGCTTTTTGAGGGATTCCTGTGTCGGGGTGGCCTGGAGGTTCTTTGCCGATCGGCATCTTTGGGACCTTTTTGGGAGGCCGGCTCCGCCTGGTTAGGAGTCTTTGGCAAAGAGCTGCTGTCTCCATTTTTCTGCGGTGGCTCCTCTGAGCTGTTGGACGCTGGGAAGGGCTCCTGGCTTGGGATGAAGCTTGCCTCCGATTTATTCTTGGTGACTGGCTTGGAGTCCGTCATTTTCCCCCAGATTTTTAACCAGGAAAAGGTCAGGCAGGAGAGAATCAGACAACATAGAAAAAGCAGCAGGGTCATTCAGAAAACCTGCAAGGAGAAAAGGAGAGATGCCTTAGTATCTATGGCTTTGAGTTATTTCCCTTTTTAATTTTTTTTCTAAATATTTTTTATTGATTTTAGAGAGAGAGGACAGGAGAAGGGGAGAGAAAGAGAGAAAAATATCAATGTGAGAGAGAAACATCAGTCAGTTGCCTTCTGCACGTACCTGACCAGGGATTGAACCTGCAACCTGGGCATGTGCCCTGACTGGGAATTGAACCAGTGACCTTTCAGTGCACAGGACGACGCTCAACCAACTGAGCCACCAGAGAAACCAGAGCGAGTTATTTCTCTGTTAAAGGAGCTTGTGGGAGGAGAGGCAGTCGGGAATCTATGTGTTCAGCCACGAGAGCCAGAGGAGAGAAGCCAGGGGCAGAGTGGAGAAGGGTCCTCCTTACGGCTCCATCACCTGCTTGGTCTTGAGTGCACTCCTTAGCCCTCTGACCCTGGGTTGTTCACCTCTGATTCAGGTATGCTAACACATGCTCGCCGTGAATCATAAACATGCATGTGAGAGAAAACTAAATGAGATCATGAACTCTAAAAGACTCTGTGATGACATCGTAATAGCCAAGCAGTTGGGACAATCCGAATGTCCACTAACTGATGAATGGATAAACAAAATGTGGTCCATCCGTACAACGGAATATGATGTAGCCATAAAAAAGAATGAAACGCTGGTACATAATAAAACATGCATGCATCTTGAAAACGTGCTAAGAAAAAGAAACACCTCATATCGTATGATTCCATGTAGATGATGTGCCCGCAATAGGCAAATTCATAGAGACAGAAGATTAGTGGTTATCTAGGGATAGTGGGATACGGGTGAGAGCTAAAGGTGTCTGTTTGGAGTGATGAAAGTGTTCTGAAATTCATGACAGTGATGGTTGCACGACTCTGTGACTATACTGAAAAACACTGAATTTTACATGAGTAAATTTTCTGATGTGTGAATTACATTCCAATAAAGCTGTTATCTAAAAAAAGACTTCCCTAGCCCTAGCTGGTTTGGCTCAGTGGCTAGAGCGTTGGCCTGCAGACCAAAGGGTCCCGGGTTCAATTCCGGTCAAGGGCACGTACCTTGGTTGCAGGCCTGGGCCCTGGTCAGGGCGCATGCAGGAGGCAACCAATCGATGTGTTTCTCTCACATCGATATTTCTCTCTGTCTTTCCCTCTCTCTTCCACTCTCTCTAAACATCAATGGAAAAATATCCTCAGGTGAGGATTAAGAAACAACAACAACAGATCACAAAGTTTAAGCATACCAATGAGGTATCTAAAAGAGTGGGGGGGTTTTTCCTTTTTTTAGTTTCAACACAATGTTCTTAAGGGAAAAGTTCTCATGTTTCCCCGGAACTCCATGGCTCACACTCTTCTTGCCCACGTTGGCCAACAGAAGTTGCCAAAATGTTGTGGTCAAGGAAACTTTCTAGGCAATCCATGGGGCCAGGAGGATTCTCTTCTTTTTAAGACCATCACGGTGTTGTTTAAAAGAAAGGGTCAGTCAAGGGTGGTTCAACATCAACAAAACGTAACAAACCACACAAGTAGCACAGAGGGGGGAAAAAACATGTGATCATCTATCTCAATGGACCCGGAAAAGCATTTAAGAAATCCAGCAGCCTCTCCTGATTAAAGCACTCGGAAAACTAGGAATAGAAAGGAACTTCAAGGTCACAACGCACATCTATGAAAAATTAATATCTACTCAATAGTGAAAGACTGCCATGCTTGCCCCCTAAGATCGGGAAGAAGACAAAGGTGACCTCTCTCACCTCCGCTATTCAACTAGGTATATTCCAAAAGAACCGAGAACAGGGACACACAGATACACGTACACACGAGTTCATAGCATTAATTTTCCAACTTTCTGAGGCCCAAGCCTTGCCCTCACCCTGGCACGACCGACACTTGGGACCGGAGAGTTCTTTGTGGAGGGGACTGTCCCATGCATTGTAGGATGTTGAGCCACATCCCAGGCTTCCACCCACTAGAGGACAGTAGCTCACTCCCTTTAGTGGTGATAACCAAAAATGTCTCCAGACGTTGCCGACTATCATTGGGGAACAAAATTGCCCTTGGGTGCCCTAGCTGGTTTGGCTCAGTGGATAGAGCATCAGCCTGTGGACTGAAGGGTCCCGGTTTGATTCCAGTCAAGGGCACATGCCTGGGTTTCCGCCTCAATCCCCAGTAGGGGGCGTGCGAGAGACAGCTGATCAGTGATTCTCATCATTGATGTTTCCCTCTCTCTCTCTCTCTCTCTCTCTCCCCCTTTCTCTCTCCCTCTCTGAAATCAATAAAAATACATTTTTAAAAAATTGCCCTCAGGTGAGAATCAATGGTCTAAACCAGCGTTTCTCAACCTGTGGGTCGCGACCCCTTTGGGGGTCAAACGACCCTTTCACAGGGGTCGCCTAAATATATCCTGCATATCAGATATTTACATTATGATTCATAATAGTAGCAACATTACAGTTATGAAGTAGCAACGAAAATAATTTTATGGTTGGGGGTCACCACAACATGAGGAACTGTATTAAGGGGTCGCGGCATTAGCAAGGTTGAGAACCACTGCTCTAAACTCTTCTGCCTACTCCCTCCCTCCCGCTTCTGGGCCCTGAGGTGCGGTGGGAGCTTCTGGGAACAGAGTCTATCTCTTACTCATTTCTTGCACATAGTAGGTCCTCAAGGAAAGCTTAAGAAATGTCAGAGTCCTGAAATGGCAGGCTTACAGTTGTCCTCAGGACAAATTTTGAAATTAGCAATTGGCAGATGGCATCACCAAAAACGCTGCCAAGGCTATTCTGGCTTCCCCAGAAGCTCCAACAGGTTGCAGTCCTACCCACTTCCTCCCTAGGCCGGAGGGCATGGGGGGAGGGGTAGAAGGCCCACACCCCCTCTCACACCCTCTTCACAACTCCCCAGCCCACCCCCACCAGGCTCTTTGCTCAGCCGGCCTGGGACTGCCACGCTCACCAGCGAGTACAGACCTCCATCCTGGTAACTCTGATGCACAGTATGAAATGGCCAGTCACTGGGCTCCCCTGGCCAATTTCGGAAGTCCCTTGGGGATAGGAACCGTTTGTCACTCATTTCTGGGTCCTTGTGCCCGGCTTGGTGCTTGGTGCCCAGTCGTTGCTCAAAACGTGTGTATCGAATGAATGACAAACCCATGCACACACACTGAGCACCAACGGACGGCCTGAGGTGAGCTGGAATTTGGATTTTAGGGCTCTGTTTCTGGGACTGTGTCATGAATGCCCCGGGAATGAGCTGGGGGTCTCTGTGGAGGTTCTGAAGTTGAGAGCCAAGCGAGACACCGGATCCCAATGTGGCCGAGTTTAGGCACATTTAGAATGTGCATGTCTGAAATTGTGAGCTCTAAGAAACAGTGAAAATAGTGCATGAAGTTGAAATGCTGAGCAAACCAGAGAAGCATCTAGGCAAACATGTGCTACAAAGGCTTGGGACTTAGGAATCCTGAGAATACATTCTTTTTTAAAAATATATTTGTATTGCTTTCAGAGAGGAAGGGAGAGGGAGAGATAGAAACATCAGTGATGAGAGAGAATCATCCATCGGCTGCCTCCTGCACACCCCCTACTGGGGATGGAGCCTACAACCCGGGCATGTGTCCTAACCGAGAATCGAACTGTGACCCCCTGGTTCATCGGCCGACCCTCAACCACTGAGCCACACCAGCTGGGCTTGAAAATACATTCTTTGCGTGGATTCCCACTGGCAAACCAATCAAACCATGCAAGTTTTGCATTAGGCAAGCTCTTCGGGAACTTGCTCCGGGAATCCTGGCTGGCACTGTGTGTGGATGAATAGGTGGTGGGTGCAAAGAGAGAGAGTGAGTGGGTGGGCAGGTGGGCAAGATGCAGAGACACATGCGCAGTGGGGATGGAGGGGTGGGGGTGAAGCTGCCAAGCTTACATTGGCGCCCTCTCTTACTCTGCAAATCCTTGAAGGCCTGCTGTTATTCTGATAGGAGCCAGTACAGCGAACACCCCAAAACCTGCCTTGTGAGAGCTACCTGCACGAAAAACCCCCGGGTCCCTCCATTTTCTTTGTAGATTAATGACAGGACCCCAAGGCCATCACATGAGTAAGCGCCTGGGGCCAAATGGGGGAACTGTTTGAGAAAGCTCTCAAAGAAACTCTGAGTCTCAAGTTTCCTCATCTGTAAAATGGGGATGCCAATTCTTGCCCCATTTTCCCGCCTCACAACTGCTCTTCCAATAACACATACACATAGATTCAGCACTCACACATACAGAAACCATCACGAACACAGAGTGCCTTCAAGCTCCCAGTCCTCAAAACAACTTGATGGGCATTGTTATTGCTGCTGCCACTACTTTAGTCCCATTTCACTGCTGGTAAACTGAGGCACAGGGAAGCTCGGCACCTTGACTTCACTCAAATCCAAGCCCAGCACCCACACCTTTCCCCCTGGCCCACCCCCAAGCTGGATTTAAATTAATCCCATAAAGTGGAGGGTGTTACTATGAGCACACGGATACGATCGTAAAACCAGACACCTGTCTGTTACATAGAAGGGACCGCACAGCGACCGGCACTGTCCTGTAGGAGCACTGTGCCTGCAGTTTGACTCCATGGGCAAGAGAGGTGCCCCGTGCGACTCTGTGGGCCACGCCATGGCGCGCTGTGGCCCTGCGCTGAGATAACCCAGCGGCCCCAAAGACCCAGCACCGGCCAACGCTATTTTTATTTATTGCAAACCCAACTCAAAGCAACAGCTGCCGGGTGCCAGAGCAATCATGGCCCTGGCTACGCGAATGCAGGCCACGGCGCGGCTCCAAGCAGTGCTGGCCAGCTGCCAGCCCAGAGCTGGAGAGAGAGGGGGTCATGAGCTAGGTTTCCTGCTCCCCCTCCCATTCCCCCCGCCCCAACCCACACCCATCCCTGGCAAGGTCTTTGAGGGAGAAGGGGAGGGTGTCAGTGGGCAGCCGGCACTC